ATACGCATGACGTGCGAAAAAATATTGATTTCTAAAATAAGAGTATAACGCAATTGTAGCGGCGTACATGATATGCTTCCGATATAAAAGTGATCAGAGTTAACGCGGATATTTGCGCGATGGAAAGTAATTTTATAATTACTCATCATGGGAGGAGATTTATGAAAAAAGCGCAACTTAACGGAGACGTCGCGAGCGAGCGAAAAATATATCATGCCAGCGACAACGGAGTGAAAGGAAGAATCAGTTCGAGTCACATCCGTCATACCGTTGGTATTTTAAAATTCCGCGGACTACAAAAATCATTTCTCTCTCTCTCTCTCTTTTGCCGTGAATGTTTTTTTCCATTACGTAAGAATATCGCTTTATACGACAGCAAGGAGAATCCACCTTGTTCTTCCAATCGCGATGAATAGAAGCGACGACAAGACGACGATGGAGATTGTGGCGAAATCTGCTTCGGCGCGCCGTGCGAATAATTGCACGAAATATCGATTTTCGACAGTCAATGGGGCGTGTTCGAGTCCTTCTCCGCCTTGTCCACAACGCTTTTACAGGCGCTGAAGAGACGCGGTCGAGTGTTCGAGGGAACGAGGTGGTCGTTCGGAGAAGGCAGGAAAAAGAGAGAGAAACGAGAAGAAGGAAGATCAGGTAGAGGATAGTCGGCAGCCCGGACTGACCAGCGGGTGCTCCGGATCCGACTGGACCGGTTTTGCTTGGATTCCCTAGGAGTCCTAGCCTTCGGGACTCTGCAAGACTGGCTCTCGTTCTCTGGGATTCTCTCTGATGCTGACCGGTCAGCACCGGTTACCGGTCACTACGACGCAGAGCAGCTCGGGACGAGCTCTCGTCGCTCGTCTCAGATCTCTTTCTCTCTCTCTCTCTCTCTTCTCCCTCGACTTTTTTCTTCTTTCTTCCTCCCCTCCTCTTCCATTCTGGTCCAGGGAGGAAGTTTCACGCCGCATCGCCGGCGCGCGGTTCCAGCCGTGCTACCACAGCTAGATTTCAACGTATCATTTATCATCAACCGCCTCCTGCACGCGCTTCTGCCGCTCTGATGACTTGATACCGAAGGCGACGGTCTCGCGACACTGATACGTCCGACTTTCATCTCGTCCGTGGATCCTGCTGTGATTAGAATTTACCAGGAATTCGCGCTCCGATCTTTTCTGATTCCGCGTTAGCTCGATTATTAATTAATGGTTCGGTCAATATCGTGGATCGATAACTCTCGGGTTTCTCACCGGAAGAAGATTACGACGCGATCTCGCCGTCAGTTAGAGGGGGGATCGCGCTTTTTATCCTCGTTTCGAGATGTTTCTTCAAGGTGTTAAAATCCAGTTTAGAAATCGAGTTCAGCCTCCTGAAACGGTTCTGTGCGACCGTTATAGGTGAGGATGGCGGAGACCTTCGTTCTGGAAAAGTGGACTGGCCAGCAGTCAGTTGCATCGCGATTTTGTCTACTTGGCAATATGCGTGAAAAGAGGCGGTAGTCGAGAAAAAAAGAGTTGCGCGCAAGCCTTGCTCGGCAAGGGTGGCAGGAGCTCTTCTACTTCATTGTGGGAACGTCTCGATGATGGATTCGGTCATTAATTAAGCCAGCTAAGTGGGTACCTCCTGGCTCATTTTTTAGCCGCGTTCGAGCAACGAACTACTTGATACACGAGACGTCCATCTCTCTATATCACATTCTGTCGTTTATTTATTATTTAACTGCCCAACAGATTAAATTCAGAGCTTCTCTAACTGCTTGTTTACTCTCTTAAGTATTAATATACCGGATTAATTAACGCGTTTAACACCACATGAATTAGCGCTGACCGGCAATAATATAAGAGAATTATGCATACCTAATTTTTTCTCGCGCGACCACGCGGCAAGTCACGCAAAATTTATGCGCCATTGAACGCGTTAAATTATATAATTATTTCTACGTAATAAATCCTTCATACATGTAATATTTTATAACTGCTGCTTGATTCGCATTAAGTTTGAGGGGCTATAACCCATCTCGCTGCTTCGTGCGTTAACAACTTTATTACGAGACCTCATAATCTGCACGAGATCTCGTACATGAAATCAAAGTACAGAAAATGCGAGAAGAGAGAGACAGAGAGAAATCATAGATTGACGTGTTTAAAGCTCGATAAAGATGATAAAACTTAAGTTTTAGATCTGCATCTTTGTCAAAAGATTCTACGAAATATATATTTGTTAAGAAAAGTATAGATAAAAACGAAAAAGAAATCCATTAACATTTCATTGCTCAAGTACATTCGCGCCGTCTGCAAAAGTTATTCAGAAGAGCTTGTCGGACACGAAGAGCTCGGCGCACGTTCCTAAAGAAAGATCGACACGTAGGTCAAACCTCACCGAGTCATCGGGAATTATGCTACCTGCATGCTAACACATTTTTTGCGCTTGCGTGCGCGACAGGTGATACACGCGTGACGCTCGTATGAGATTTCGGGAAATCGTGCGCGTGGAAGGGCGGCCGTGAAGTGGAACGTCGGGATTATCGTCACTGTCCGACGCTTTTAAAGGTCCCATTAGCCACGGCATGTCATGCCGGTGGTAAAAGAGCGCAGCTGATGAATAGCGCTATGATCGTGGCGTTCGAAGGGTAAAGTCTATCCGTCCGCGCCACCATTCATTATGCCTCTCTTTTTTACGAAATAAACCGGAGGCACGCACGACGCTTCCGTAATGGCATTTACGTAATCGCCGTGGCTGTCTCTCGGAAAAATCGCCTCGATGATGTATATAATCCTGTTCGACCTCTCTTTGAGTCGGTTTAAGTTGCCCGAATTGTCGAAGTTACCACAATTCTAATACTTGTTCTAAGAATTTTGAAATTTTCTAATGAGATTCGTAGAGTACAATATTAATATGATTTACATTGGAATAGTATTTTACACGCGGTGAAATTACGCGAACTTGAAAGTGCCTTTTCGAACTTCGAGACTTAATTAGCGTGAAATAACAAACCGAATATGTACATCTATTTTTATTTATGCGGCACCAATCACAAATGGTATGCCGGCCACGATATGTCATTAAACTTGCGGCTATTACAATATAACGAGCAAACATATGAAAGCACTGAATTAGAAATCAATATGAAACGATGCGCGACGCTAACAGTGTACGGTGATTAATAGTAAACGCGTCGGCTTTTTTCTCATCTAATTTATTCGCCCGTGAGATCACATTTTTCCGGCGTGCACGCCTTAATAACCTTTTAATGTTGTGCTAATGACGGCACTTTGCCGAGACTAATGATTTGGATCGTCCAACGCTAACGACAGCGTCATCGACATTCAACAGTAACAGGGCCGCTGTGCAACCGCACACGTCGATTACGATGAAGATGAAGATTTATGTAAAAATATTCCACCGCTGAATCGCGTTAATAATACGAACCCACTATTTTATTACAAAAATAACAACGACTCTTTCAGGCCAATTTCTAATCCGTCCGTTCGTGCGATTATACTTGATAATAATGTAATTAATATAATCCTGATGAGAGATTATGCACTACTTAAGCGATTAGATAATATATATAATCTGTTACAGCACTGCCGGCATATTAGTAGCATCCAATCAATTGGCTGTCATTAAAGTAAACGTGTAGCAATAGCGCCCATTACGCATATTTAACATCACATTTGTACATGTCATTTTGGCGAGAGATTCTCGATTCCTTTGCATTTGCGTTCGCGATTTTTGCAAGCGCGAAGGAAGAAGAAAAATATCGCAATTTATTCGAGATTTGTTATAAAGTATACATGTGGATTTTACATATTTAATAATCTTTTACTAATAATTATATAATTTCACTGAATTCAGAGAGTTTGATTCATAACTTTCTAATAATTTTTTCTTCACGTGTGAGACCGACTATTTCAATTTTTATCTAGATTGTAGTTTACCGGGCCTCTTTTAATGCACGTGAAATTTGCGTATCGATATGCATGATTTGCGTGTCATGCAACACACCCGGCGAGGCGATCGCGAACAATGGGCCTCGTTTCCTCAAAACGCAAAAATTAGCATTGCCTATGGGCAGAGAAAGAGAGTAAGTTTGCGGTAAAAAAGAAAAGATACCGTTCGATGCAGGCGATGCATCCATGTAACAATGATAATTGCAAGTTGTTTCCTTCCGTGACACCATCGCGCGATCATCCGAAAATAAGCGTTTGTAATGGTATATCTTTCTTCCCCTCGCCAGTGGTCCGGCGGGTCTTTCTTCGTTGCTGCGTCTCTTCCGCCTCTCGTCCTTCGGGCACACGGCTATCTTGACCGTCGTGTAAAAGCCGCTGCATATTTTGATATAGCACGCTCCAAGAATGACATTTTTTTATTCATCTACGACAAAAATGGCAGGCGATTTGTTAAGATTATTCAATGATCGAAATATGGATTTTGGGTCTTACATTTTTAACATCGTATTTATTGTATGACACATTTTCCTCTCTTTCTAATAAAATATTCAATTTATCGTATACATAGAATAGACATAATAGGAATTTATAAAAAAATGATCACTTTCGAAAGAAATAATCTAATAGACCATATTTTCTTCAATGAATATTTCAAGTCGGTTTTATTGAATAATAAATTATGCAGAATTACGAAGGGTTTTTGGATCTGCCTGTATATCCGCGGATTCCATCTCGTGGGCCCTACGGTGTAACAAGCGAACGCGCATAATGATATTAATCAGGGCGGTGTGTTCGGCTTCCTTAAAATTGCCGGCAGGCTCAATTTCTCACTTAAAATCTAATTAGAGCTTGCCGGAGCTCGAGCTGCCGTAGGCCGACCAGAGAACATATGAGGAGAAGTGGGGGAGAAAGGAACGAGATCGCGAGAGATAAAGAGAAAGAGAGAAAGAGAGGGTGCCCCTCTCTCTTCCTTTCTCGACACAAGCAAGCCGCGAGTTTGACCTCGGAATAAAGACGGATCCCAACCTAAGGCCCTACTTTGCGAAATTGCAGTTTCCTGCCCTCGGATTGCCGATCGTCCCCCGGACCCATTTTCGGCCCCACCGAACTCAACGGGCCCCGACCAACTCGGCCGCAGCTCCACCGAGTTCAGTCAGGGCCTCCGAACAAGCATCCAGCCGTCAAGGATCGGTCGTCAAGGCTCTTGGGACGTCCGGGACGCGTCATCCGTCGATCGTGCGCAGTCAGGACACTCGGATGGACTCAAATATCGTCGGATTTGAGGTGAGATATTTTTTTATCGTTGCGAGCAAATCCTACCTTGCCATTTAAAGTTTAAAATTCTCAAACTTTCAAGCTTGAAAAAATATCATGATACATAAGGTTTTTTTGTGTAGAAAATGAAAGAAGAAAATATTCTTCGATTTTTATAGCTGGAGAAATTATCTCGTCATGTTTCTTTTTAATATCTTTTTCTTGGCTGTATATTCCTGAATTTTTAAAAATTGTTACTTTCTAGAATTAGAAATGTCCCGACAGCTGATTGTTATGCAAACATTTGACATTTCGCGTTTCGGCTTTCGCTCGCGGATTTCAGTAACATTGATAACGATAAAATACGGTTCGGTTTCTCCGCGATCGATAGGCTGGTATCACTCGTTTTCAGAATACATCGATGTTCGATGCATAATTACATGTATCTATCGTTAAATCACGAAGATCGCGCATGTCGAGGGATGCGTAAGGGAGTATGCACGGAGGATGATAAAAAAAAAGAGCAAGAGAGGAGAGGGTGACAGGAGCAAAAAAGACGGCCAATCGTTAGCAAGGTACAAATTTCGCCATTTGCTGCAATAAACCTTCGAAACCGCTTGTAACTTCTTCTTATGGGAGGCATGAGTAATCACCTTGTTAGCCCTTATGGCCTATAGCCCTCGTGCTCACTCCCTCATCCTTGGGAGGGACAACAACAGCAACAACAACAGCGAACGGATGCACGTATCGATAAAAGAAGGAAAAAGAAAAAAGCGAGAGAGAGAGAGAGAGACAGAGATAAAAAAAAATAGAGAAGGAGAGGTAGAGAAACGATAGGGGTACCAAACACACGCAATATATGTACCCCATCGACACCGGGTGTAACGAGTGAAGTAAAGGAACTAAAAATCACTATAAAAGAAAGAGTAAGCTGAGATGATGGAGAAAGGGAACGGAAAGAGGGAGAAGATTGTAGCAGGGAACAGGAAAAAATCAATGGGGGCGACAGATAGAGAAAGAGACTATAAGGGGCGGAAAGATACAAGTAGATAAGAGAATCTCAGATATTGCCGTGATGCTTCTTTCCCGCGTGAAAAAATCAATGGGGGCGACAGATAGAGAAAGAGACTATAAGGGGCGGAAAGATACAAGTAGATAAGAGAACGGCGGATCTCAGATATTGCCGTAATGCTTCTTTCCCGCGTACTATCCATCCATTTTCCACCTTAAAATCTAACTACACCGTGTATATTGTCGTTCGCATCTCTGGTATTTTGCGCGTCTCACGTCACTCGTTTCCGCGATGCGCTCCTTAATTAACAGCACAATAAAAGGAATGGCTTAGATAGATGAGGCGAGAAATCGTCGGCGAGTGCGAGTTTGAAATGCTTGCACGCGATATGAGAGATACACGTTGACGGTATGTAATATCGAAACCTTGATAAGAATGCCTTTTTACAGAGTACTTGTTCTCGTTCATTCCCTTAGTGGGAGATTTTTTTTTGGACTTGATTCCAGTTGCTCCTTAAAGAGAAATACGATGATGGTAAGCTGATATAAAACTTGTAACGTTATATATATAATATTATGTGAGAAAAAAAAATTTTGATTAATTAACGCGTCAAGTAGAAACATAGTAAAAACACGGAAGAATTAATTAATTCTATAGCATCATACAATTTAAATTGACACTCACTAAATTAGCAGAATTAAATTTTAACTTTGTTATTTACTAGTTTTTATTATATATATAATATAAAAATTGGAAATAAATTGTATGTAAATGAAATGTTTTTGGCAAACGACATGAGACATCAACCGTAGTGAGCGATTGTGTTTTGACGTAGAGGAATAAAAACGGGGGAAACGAGCGAGTAAAAAGGGACCCTAAACTTTTATTTTCGGCTATATAATTCTTATTCTTCTATTTTGTCGCTATCTCGAAACAATACGAAGCATTTATCGCCGTAATACTAATTGTATTTGGACTACATTTTTTATACGGCCAGCTGATTTTTATAATTAGTGGTTTAATAATGTTAATATATGTGCATGTAAATTTAAAATACCCAAGTTAACTTTTGTCTGACATCATAATAATTATGGTCGATATTTCCTGCGATTGGCGGCAATCGCGTATTACATCCATTAAGATTCGAAATTTATGACGTATTACGTTGTAAAAAAATAATATTTTGATAGCAAAAACCTTTATATTTTGGTAAGGAATAAATTTTATCGTAAAGAAAAGAAACTATATCCTCTCGTATTGAATACAATCATCTAATTATCTAATTAAGTTGTAAATTTGTATATAGACACACGACTCCCGACGTGTGATCAATATTTTTTCTCGAAAGACGTTGGAGGATCGAGCATCTCGTGTTTCTCGCAACGCGAAGAATTTCGCTTGAAACGGGTTGTCGGTCCGGGCTTGCACGACGCCTTCGGAATTCCTTTTTCCTCGTAATTCTCACCGGACCTCCAACTTCGCGATACACGTACAGACGTATACGCGCCGCACACGTGCGCGAGGAAGTCGCGTGGCCCCATATCTTAAGAGGAAACCAGGGGGGGTCCCGGCCGAAGGACAGCGAATGGGGACTAACACTGTTTTATCGTGTAGCCAATTAATAACGTTTCTCCAGGGTTCCTCCAGCTCCTCTCTCCGTTCGCCGCCGTCCAGCAGCCTTCTCTCCGCGAAGAAGAGATCTCGCTTTAGATATCCCCCTGCTCTCTCTCGTAGACTCCCCAAAGACGACATCTCGCCGGGCCCCGTGACTGCTCGATCTCGCGCGCTTTTATTTGCGATGTCCACTCCGCGGGATCGTGCCGCGGGACAGTAATGAGTTAAAGCGTCACGGACGCAAACGAAATATTAACGATTCCGTATTTACGTATCGCAACAACGCGAAGAGATGCGAGAGTAATCGTACGCCGGACATTTCGAGAATGCCCAATGAGAATAAGAATTGCCTTTGTGTTTTAGCTTACAGAGTTGTGTCGCGCATCGTCCTCCTGCAAGCAATTCTCCAGAATCCAGTCGCAGCCAGGCATCGTGTCTCAGTGTGGAAATACATAATTATATAGAATTTACGGTATAAGTTGTGTTAAATCAATGTTAATCGCTGTAGCGAAGTGGGGTATTATAATAAATACATTATTTTATGTATATTTTGCTTGTGTGCCACTCTCATTTTCTTCTCGAGAAAACCGCTCCTTCTTCCAAAAACTTCGAAATATTCCTTCGAATAAAAATAAGTTCTGATGATCGAACGAAACCGTACGTCGATTATAGGATAAAATCTGGCTGAATCCCGGTTAATTGGATCGCGTAATCAACGAAATCCACGAATAGCGTAGGAAAAATGTTCAAGTCGTGACAAGACTACCTCGTCGCTGCGGAGCCGAAATCTCATTCGAGCACGCGGGTCGTCGTTTAATTACAGTCTTCCAAAGTCGTTTGGAATTTGGCGACGGACTCTACGTCCCACGGAATTTGTCGAACGCGTCTAATTCCTGTTCTTCTTTTCCGCGCGGTAAACGGATCGTGTTACGATTACGAGGCACGGTCGTAATCGCTTTTAAAGACACTTTCGGAGCTTACGGCACGAAAGAACTTTTCTCCGGGACACAAAGAAACTCAGCTTTTCTCCACGATCGTTCGCCGTGTCTGTGTGCACCGGGGGAAAGAG